GGTGGCTGAGACAGCAGGAATTGCAGAGTAACAACAGGAGCCCAGAGGCTCTGCTGTTCAACTTGCATCTCCGTCCTTAGAACTTCGGCTCTCATACCTACTCACCACTCAAAATCTTCTTTTGAAAACAAAGCAAGAATATACAGAAATTCTAAAGAAAATACATGATCTGAAATACTTTACTGAATATCAAAATGAAATTTTGTTTCATATTAGACATAAAAACCTTATTGAAGGAAAACATTTTTGTATCATATACATAAGATGAAAATTGACACCTTATTTCAACTGTTTCTAGGCATCTAAACTAAGTTGGAAGAAGACTGTAAACGAAAATCAGCAGCAGGAGTTCTACAGTATGTAGCCTGCCCAAATGCCAGCTATTTAGACAGCACAAGCTGTCATTACTAGTGCACTGGAGATAAATACTGCTTTAGTGATGGTTCTTTGATGGCTGAAACTGTCTTACTACACTTATTCCTCACTGATTTTTAATTCTTTAAAAAGCTACCAACACGTTATGGATCTTTGGTTATATTAGGATAATATTTCTTAACTGACATTTTTTCTTTACTATTTTCACAATAAAATTATATATGTATAAAAGGTATTCATAAGTTTCTAACTTAAAAAGCCCATCTGTATCATATATCTTAATTTATTTTAGACACATTTTATAGCTTAAAGCTTTAAGAAAAATAAATTTGAAGTTAATTTCTAGACTCCAATTATCACCTATAAACAAAAATCATAAGAAAACACACAAAGAAATTGAAAATTAAAAAACATAAAAACAAAGTAATATGCATTTTTCTACTGAACATCACCTTTAGGGATTTTGCCACCTGGATATGGTTATCATAGACTAAGATGTCTATTGTCAGATTCTGTAGCCGTTGAATATGACTTAAATCACCTTCGAGAACAAGGTCTTGTATTAAGACTCTCCAGGATGGAAATGGTGTCCTGGTGCCATCCCATACCTGCCGTGAGAAGGGAGGAGAGGAAAGTTTAATGATCCTCATGGAAAAAACATTGATGCTGGTTTAAAAATAAATCTATGTATGCTTTTACATATTTTTAATACTTTAAAATGAGAGGCTACATCATTCTGTGATTGTGAAAAGGTGTTAAAAAAAATCACTGTTAAGAAATCAGACAAAGCAATAACCTGTTAACCTTATGTGTTTTCTCTTCTGTTCAAATGCATTAAATTTATACAGACCGTGTATACATATTTTACAGATACTCTGTACAAAATGGATTTATATTCTGCTCTTCCCATTTTAAATTATTTTTGAACATTTTATCAATTAAACTTTATCCTAAAATAAGATTTTTAAATGTTTCCCTATTATTTTATGACATGTAAAGACACACATTTATTTCAGCAGTCTTTGTCAGTTTGTTTTTTAATTTTCTGCCATTTTGTTCATTCAGGGACAAGGTCTGCAGCAGAGTGGTAGAGTCTGGCATGAGTGACTAGCTGGTATGAGCCCCAGCACTGCAGAAAAAGAAGCCAGTCAGCAAGTACTCATCACGTACATCAGCCCTTTTTGGCCCGTTTGCTAAGTTTCTTAAGATAAATTCCTAGTCCAGTGTTAGAAATGTATCCTCATATTTTATTTCACTTTGCAAAGGTCTAGGAAAGCACTTTAAATGTATAGTGTATTAATATTGGATTTTACAAATATAAGTTAGTGAAAGTGGGGTGCTAGATAAAGAAATAAATGAACTGTGACGTAATTATCTTGAGATGCAGGAACATGGTCACAGGTGAACATGTACTACCCTTGACTTAAGAAATGAGCTAGATGGGCTGCAGAGGTGGCTCAGTCATTAAGAGTACTTGCTGTGCATGCAGAGGACCCTGGCTTGGTTCCCAGCACCCATATGGTGGCTCACCCTGGCCTGTAACTCTTGTTCCAAGGCATCTGACACCCTCTTCTGGCTTCAATGGATGGGCACGAGGCACACATGTGGTGCACATACATACATGTATGCACACACATATACATATAAAGTAAATCTTAAAAAAATAAATATGCTACCTATGCTACTTCAGTTTTAACATGCGATACATTATGCCCTAAAGGGCAAAATAAATAAGTACCCATAACTTTGACATTAAGAGTAAACTGCATGCACGTGCACAAATATACATATGGATGATATTAATTCTGGAACTTTTGCAGTATATCAAAAGTTAATTTGTTAGGCATTTGTACAGTGTATACAATCTTATTTTTTTCCTAATAGGTAACTGTCATTTAATTAACTTGACTGACTTGAAATGTTAATGTTCCTTTTATGATGCTTAGAATTCTTATGTGCCAAAGGTAAAACTATTTTCTATTAACCAATCATACAGTAATATTAACTGCTATAGTTCTGTGATATATTTTAATAACTAATCTGGAAGTCCGATTAGCCTTTGTCAAACTTTCCTAGTTTTATTCTTTATCTTTATATTCCCTACTAAACTTCAAAAGCAAACTATATTAAAATATGGTTTTAATTAAAATTTCATTTTAGTTAAAAACACATTAAGGAGGAATTCTTTGACACTTGAAATTTTAATTTAAATTTCATAATAACATTTTGTAGCTTTCCTTATATAAAAAGATAATGCACCAACTTTGTTTCAGTTTCATTGCTAGTTTGAAAGGATTTTTGGTTCATTATGTTATTTTTATTACTGATACCTAGGAAAGCAACATATAAAAATGTTTTAAACTAGTTATCCTGACTAATAAAGATTCCTGCTCTACTTCAGGACTGTGAATGAGGATCCTGGCTGGACATGATGCTTCCTGAACAGCAAGCAGGCATGTTTTCAAGTTCCTGCTTGAGCTCTGGTCCCAAAGTGACAGGCTGTGATCTGGAAGTTTAAGCCAAATAAGCCCTTTACCCTCCTAAGGTGCTTGTGGTCAGAGCGTTTTGATCACAGCAATAGAAATGAAACTCAAAAACAAGGCTGCTGGAAAAACTGAAGTGCGTGCATCGTGACTGCTCAAAAGAGACGAAGGTTACTATTGTCCCCAAGCTGAAAATCAAAGATTCATATTAGTTTGGATACTGATCAATTATCATTTAGGCAGAATACTATTTGCTCTCCTTTGATTAAAAATAAATGGATTCAAAAACGTATCTGATCCAAAAGAAATTCAACATCAGGTTCACTGCCCTTTAATAGGGGCCCAGATCTTAGCAGACTTCCTGAGAGTGCCTGAATCCAGCCTCTGCATGGTTCTGCATGGTTTGAAGCAACCTAAGTAGACCCCAACTGACAAGTGGATAATGAATATGTGGTACATTTACACAGCAGAGTTCTACTCAGTGGTAAAGAAAGATGAAATCATGAAATTTGAAGGTAAATGGATGGATGATATACTAAGTGAAGGAACACAGTCTCAGGAAAAAAACGAGGTATGTTCTCCCTCATTTGTGAATTCTAGCACCAAATCCTTATATGTGAGTATATATCCTGATGTAACTGCAGGAACCTGGAGAATGGAAAGGAACCAGGGGGGCAAAGAGAAAGAAGGAACTGAGAGAAAAGAACAGTAGGAGACAGGTGTTACTAAAGGAGAAATGGGTAAAATGGGTTATTTAAATGGGAGGGGGAGAAGGAGGGTTATACAAGGAAGCTTGGGGATAAGGAGAAATAGGAACTCAAGAGATGTGGGGCCATACGAGACAGGCATTATTAAGGGAGAAATAGGGAAAATGGGGATAATTTAAATAGGGAGGGTGTGGAGGGAGAGTCAGATGGGGAGAGAGATAGAGGAGAGATAAATACTTTGCTAGTGTAAAAAAACAGAGGAAATCATTAGTCCAAAAACCCACTAAAAATTACACATACAATATCTCTATATGAGTCTGTGTGCATAGCTGATGGCTACATAACAAGAAACAGTGCCAGAGAGGAGAAACCTTCCTTTTAGTTGTTGGCCAGGGTATCCAAGAGACTCCCCAAATCACAAGCCTATTGTCACAGTCCTTGATTACGTCCTAGAACTTGAAAGCTAGCTCTCATAGCTTTGGGGAGCACTACCCAAGCTGCTAAGGGAGAACATCAATCAATGGTCCAACCCCAACTTCAAGGTCTAATAATGACATCAATAAGCAGCACAACAAACAACATTGGTGCAGTGGTGGCATTTTTATCTTGGGGGGTAATCAACAGCTACCTAACTGGACTTAAAGTCCCCTCAATGGAAAGATATTCATATGTGATGCTGTAAACATAGCCAAACACACACAGTAGAGAGATTTCCTTAGAGAAAACTTCAAGGCAGTTACAACCCTAGACAAATATAATTTCTTACTATGTTCAAAATAGGGACTTTATATTTACAGACAAGTATCCCAGTCAGCACTCATCAAAGAAGCTTCTTTTGCAATAGATAGAGACTATTACAGAGTTTCACAACTAGTCATATATAAAGACTGTCTGTGAATTGCCCAAGTCTAAGTACACAATCTACAGTGCAACCTCTACATGTAAGGCCCACAGAACATAGAACAAGGGGTAAAGAGAACACTAATGCATCTCTCAAATCTCATCAGTGAAGCTCCCTCATGCAACAGGAACATAAAAGGTCACAAATGGCCAAAGTATAGAGGATAAGAGTCTGCAGAGTGTAGGTCATTGGGCAGGACTACTATATTAAATTCCACCCACCCAGGGCTCAGCAACCATTGCAGAAGAGGGGATGGAAAGACTGTAAGAGCCAGGGAGGAGGTACAAGACCATTACGGAAACAGAGTCCTACAGGTTCCTGGGACCTTGCTCACATGAACCTACGGTAATTGTGTCAGCATGCACAAGAACCATGCAATTTCAAGCAGATGAAAACCCAGCACAGGATTGTGGAAATGGGCAGCAGGCCCCAATCTTAGTCGAAAAATTAGTGGCAACTGATTACTGCTGGGTGAGGAACAGCTGATCTTCTTAAAGGGAACAATTCTAGATAGACTGACTAGACCTCAGTGGATGAACTTGAACTAAAGGATGTCTGTTAACTAACTTGACTCAATAGGCCTTAACACAAATGATGACTGCATGAATTCCAGTGTGGGGGTATAAGGGGTGCAAATGGGGAAGAGGGTATAAAGGTTATTAAGATGTTCTGTATAAAATACAAAAAAATTAAATAAAAAAATTACAAACAAAAAAGAAATTCAACATCAGAAACAACAGTTAAAAAAAAAAACATTGTAATTCTATTCCCCCAAAGAAAGAGTAAATAACAACATGTATGCTTCCCAGGATATTTCTGCTATTTTACACACATTTCTGTAAGTAAAGATATACAACTAAGTAGATTATTATTAACGTCTATTTCAACAAGTCTAAGCTTTTCCCTAGTCTGGACTGTAAATAAGAAAAATAATTGCTCTAAATATACTTTTTCACATATTTGAAATTATTTGAATAAAAAAAAATCATGAAAATAAAAATGTCAAGTGCTACTTCAAAGACTTTTGAGACCCAGTACTAAACTGTTCTTTAGAAAGCCTAGCTTTCTTATATTCACTTCTCAATGCTGTATTCTAAAACAAATTACTTGATTTTGTGCAAACTTCAAGATTGAGCCAGCCAAAATTCTAGCATGAATTTTGGGAAAAGAGTATAAGGCTCCATCCCTAACTGAGGAACTACTGGCAGTTCGTAGCTGATGAGGGAGGGAGGATCATCATTTTTCTTTGTGTGTGTGGCCAACAGTAGGCTGCCCATGTTCCAGTGGCTCCATGCACCAAATGGTCTCATAGTCATGCATACATGGACAATACTAAGTAGACAGTGGATTATTAAAAAAAATGTAGAGGATAAGAAGTTGGGAGGGGGACATTATGGTAGTTGGGGTGAATTGGAAGAGGGGAAACAGGAGGTAAATATAATCATATTTCATTGTATACATGCAGGAGATTCTCGAAGATATACTTTCATATCCATGTTCATTGCTGCTCTAGCTAGGAAATGGAAACAGTCTAGCTGTCCATCAATCCTGAGGAGTGGATAATGAAAATGTATTACATATATACAATGGAATCTTATTTGGCTGTAAAGAAAATGAAACTATGGAATTTGCAGGTAAATGGATGGAGTCAGAAATAATCTTTCTGAGTGAAGTAACCCAGACCCAGAAAGACAAATGTCACATCTTTTCTCTCACACATGGCTGGAGCTTTGAATCTTTAGTGTATTTAAATTGGAGTACTAACAAAAATCAGGAAACTATTATGGGGCAAAGGAGGGGGGCTTTCATGGGAAGAGAGCTAGAACACACTTGGTATGAAAGGAAAATGAGGAATAGTAGAATAGAAAGGGTCAAGTGGGGAGTGGGTGGGAAGCCAGAGTAGAGGAGGAAGTATGGGAAGGGATAACTAAGACTAAACACCTATGAGAAAGCCATGTGGAAGCCTGCTACTGCAGAAGCCTACTAAAACATAAACATATACAAATATAAAGAGTTTGAATGCAGTTAGCCAATAACTGGAACCAATGGTTCTCCCAGATACCATAGGTTATCAAATGAAAAGCCCAGTGCTGGTTTCTTCTTCTGGAGTCATTGGTCAGTGGAGTTCCACAGTCCCCCAAAACATTACAGTTTATTGCCACTGCTCTTGGTCACCCTCTATAACTCGATGATAAGACACTATTATTGAACATGCTGCATACTTGAGGCATAGAGCATGGAGAAATCAACTTGGTACCAATCTGGAAGCTTTGTCCCTACTGCCTAGCTTTCATAGTGCTGGAAGGTGCTAGGTACGCTACCAGGGGAGAACAGCAATCATCAGTTTGATTCAGGTGTGAATCCTGCAATCTCAATAATAAGCAGCCTAGCAAGATGTGTCTACTTGTGCAATAATGGCCAACCACTTCCTGATTGGATTTCAGGCCTGCTCCCCAAGGAGCACCATTAAGAGGGACAAGACCCATGGCTGGGTAGCCCATAGAGCCTAGGGAAGAACTTACTACTATTATTCTGATAAATGAACCCAGTCTTAAGCTGACACCTAAAGATGTAATGTTAACCAATAGACTGATTACGGTATCTTTCAACCCTCATCAGAGAAGCTTCTTCTTCTTAGGTGTATTAAAGATTACATGGCATTTATTTTAGTCTTTTTTTTTTTTTCCTGGCTAATTTTAAAACAAAACTAGAACCTCAACAAACATTTTTAAATTATATATAAACGCCTCATAAACCAGGAAATGAAAAGACATGGGGAAAAAAAAAAACTTAATGGTAATAGACCAAATCACTAATAACATACATTCGATCAAATTATAAATTAATTAAAAGGCCTTGAAAAAATTGAAATGATGAGTTCCTAACATAAGACCCTCATTTCTGGGGGTGAGAGAGATGGCAGGAGCACTGGCTGCTCTTGCAGAGGACCCAGGTTCAGTTCCCAGCACCCGCATGGAAGCTAACAATCATCCATAATTCCAGTTCCTGAGGATCCCACATACTTTGTTGGCCTCCATGGGCATTGCATGACAGGAGTACACTTACACACATGCAGACCAAATATTCATACACATAAAATAAAAATAAAAAATAAATATTTTTAAGGAGCACACACTGCTCTTGCAGAGGACCTGAGTTCGCTTCCCAGCATTGATGTCATGCAGCTCAAAACCACCTATAACCCTAGCTTCAGGGAACCTGACTCCCTCTTCCGGCCTCTGTAGGCACTCTCACTCATGTGCACATGTACACAGGCACACACACAGACACAGATACACACAGACACACACACAGACACAGACACAGACACACAGACACACATACAGACACAGACACAGACACACAGACACACACACAGACACAGACACAGACACACAGACACACATACAGACACAGACTTCCTGGCTAATTTTAAAACAAAACTAGAACCTCAACAAACATTTTTAAATTATATATAAACGCCTCATAAACCAGGAAATGAAAAGACATGGGGAAAAAAAAAAACTTAATGGTAATAGACCAAAACAGTGAGTGAGTGACAAAGTAGTTGACTTTTGCAAAGCAGCAGAAATATTCACACAGATGTGTCATTAAAGAGCTAGAAGTCTATGTTTTATTACTATTAAAATAAGGAACAAATATAGCTTACCAATAACTTCAGTATTTTTCTTTATTTTTTTGTTTTGTAAATTTGTTTTCATTGAATTTTTGTCTATTTCATACAGAACATCTCAGTCAGTCTTAATCATCTTTATAACCCGCTCCCCACTGGCACCCTCCTTTAGCCCCTCTACTGGAATTCATACATTCTGTCATTTGTGTTAAGGCCTACTGTATAATATTTTGAAACATATATCTGATATCACTTTTTTCCTGAAGTGCAACATAGACAAAAATGCAAGAGTAGAGCTCCATGAACAGTGAGGTTTACCAAAAATAGTTCATTAAATTTTAACTCAGTATAATACACAGTATGCAAGCACTCTATCAGAAGGCTGTGAACTCTTTATAGACAGGTGGCATCTAAATCACAAATTCAAGGAGTTGAAATGATACCTTTAGAAGAAATGATGTTCCATCCACTTCTGCTTTGCCCAAGAGCTGACAAGTCAGGTCATAATACTGCATTGGCTGAACATCACACAGCTGCACTAATGTTGAAGAAGGTGAAATGTGGGTGGATGCCCAAACCCGTAAGGCTTCTACCATTTTGTGGTCCTGAGCAGTGAAGTTAAAACACTTGCTTGAAGTACGTGGTATGACAGGAGTCCCTAAAGTTCCTTCAAATGTCAAAGATGCAAAACCAGAGCTGTTGATTCCCTGAGGCTCATTTTTATATACCTGGATCTAAGACAGGGGAGCCAAGCAGAAAACAAAACAGCTTACTGAAACAAAACTCAAGAAGCAAGAAACTCTACACTGCAAACATTTCTAGTATAACAGTACTTTTTACTATTTTTCATTTAGTTTATGAAAAAATAATCAATTGTTATATTAAGATATGTAAGTACACAATTTTAAAACACTAAAGGAATTTTACTTTGTTGTTGTTTTGAGACAGGATCTCTTGTATTCCCAGCTTGCCTAAATCGCTATGTAGACAAAGCTGGCATCAATCTCACAGGGATCCACTTGCCTCTTCCTCCTGAGTGTTGGCATTAAAGGCAAGTGCCACCACGCTCAGCATAGATGCTTTATACTTTTAAAAAGCTCAGTAATAGTTTTCCTAATCTATTTTACTTTCTGTTAGCTGATTTTTTTCCCCCTATAGTTTTAATTTCAATTTATTTGGGACTTTCTGTTACACAGGAGGATCCTTGTGTCTCAGTCTATGCTGAATCTCTGTAGTTCTACTAGATACTCCATAGATTCCATATCCCACTTCCTTATATAATTTATAATATAAAACAGCAACTTTTTGGTGGTGTAATCTGATTTAATCATGTCATCTCTCCATTACTATTACCTCACAACAACATTGTTGTTGTTTTGCTTGAACTAATCATTGAGCTTTTAGTGGCATCACTAGAATAGAAAACTCCTTCATATTTACTCATTCTCTTTGCACTTCCTAACAAGTTTCAGGCTGGTAGGGCTCAACTCTGGATTGTGTACTGTCCTTTACTATTTCTTGGACTGAGATATGCTGACCCTTGCTTTCCTTTATAAAAAAAAGTCTTCATTTTGCCTTATGTCTGAAGAATATTTTAGCTAAATATAAAATTCTAGGTAAATGAATTTTTATCAAAATTCACTGATATTGTTCTCTTGTACATAATGTGTTATTTATCTTCCAGCTGATGACTATTATCACTGTTTTTCCATGGTTTCTCTGTGCTTTGCTTATATGACTTTTCAAAATTTGGCCTTTATTGCTAAAAATATAGATATAATTCTCATTCACATTTTTTCTTCTGCATTTTAAGTCATATATAACATTACTCGATATTATTATAAAAGAACATTAGGATCAATTATCTTCTATTTAGAACTTGTTCTATATGGTAGGCAATTTCTCTGGATTTATCCTTATCAATCTGCTATTTCTAATCTTTATTAGCCCATCCAAATTTTTCATGTTGCTCCTTTTAGATATTGGATTTCCATTTGCCTCTTTTTTAGTTTTTACTTCTCTTTGAGCTGCTGATTTTCTTTTGACTCATTTAACATTTTCTTATAATCTGCTGAACATATATATGGCTTAAATTTTGGGGAAAAAATGATATCTCCCTTAAAATTACTGTTTCATAACCCAACATCTGGGCCACTGCAAAATTGGTTTGGAAAGTCCATTTGCTTTTTTTTTAACCCTTTTTTTCTAACTGCAAGTAATATGCTCTTATATTCATGTCTAGTATTCTTTATTAGACATTAGAGTGTGGCATTGTGAAGGTTCTGAATTATGCTACTTTCTTCTGATAAGAGTTTTGTTCTTTTGAGAAATTTCCTTGCTGATTACCTGAAAATGATGAAAACTCAATTTTGCATTGCCCAGGGTGACTGCCAAAGTCTTTCCGCCTTAGTGAGCCACACCCTGCAAGTGCCTTTTTTTTTTTATAGAAATTGCAGGTTTTGTGTATGAGAACTTGCAGAATATTGTACAAAAGGTCTACCTCTAGGATGATGATATTTGTAAGGTAGGGCTTTGTGCTCTTACTTAAATGTCCGAGGAACTTGTTATGGCTTGAATGTTAAAGGTCTCCTACAGGCTTATGTTTGTGAATACTTGGTTCCCAGGTATTGGAAGTTATGGAACTTTTTGGACATGAGGTCTACGTGTTGAAATCAGGCCACTCACTAGGGGATACTCACTAACTCTAGTTCTGGTCTTATACTCTGTGCTACTTGTTCTGGCAGTCAGGTAAGGAACAATGCCTCCATGGGGTGAGCCACTAATATTTCTACTATCATGGACTATAATCACTCTGAAACAGTGAGCCAAAATAAGCCCTTCTTTCTATATGCTCCAAATGTCGGGTATTTTGTCACAGTGATAAGGAAAAATAATATAGTGTTAAAGAGGTACTTTTAAAGAGATACTAACAAGGTTATTTATCTCTGACTAGTCTGGACCTCCAGCATCTCTACTGCTAGCTCTCCACTATCTATTTCCTGTTTAATCTCAATTCCTATAATGCAGAAGAACCTGCAGTCCTTAAGTAATATTGCTCTTCACATGCACAGCTTTCAGTCAAGCATCCATGAACAAAAACTCCATTCATCAGCTAGGTAGACTACAGGACAATGCCCTTTTATATATCTTTTCCCACTCTGATATCTTGTCTTGAAGATGCAAATTCTTTTAGTTGCACTGAATCTTGATCTTTGCCTCCTAAGCTTACTGGGACTATACTGCTTAGCTTCAGGAATTTAAACCACCAGAGTAACATAACAAGACCTCTGTTTCAAAAATTTAATTAAAAGGAAGTTACCAAATTGTTCATTTCTATCCTTCACAAATTCCATACGGAAACTTGATAGCATCAACTATACTTGGAAGGCAGCTATGCTCACCACTATACCACCAACGCCTAGCATCAACTATATCTGGACGTGAGAAGACAAACTGTAATCAGTTTGAATTGAATTGAAACTTCTAATATATGTGGGGAAAGAAATACAAGGAATCTATTTAAAAGAAAAGGTATCATGCTACAAATAGAAGTCTGATACTATTTACATTTCTTATCTGTTGAGCTGTTTAATGTCATGTTTAACAAGGGAAACATATAATTAATGATAACTAGTTTTGGTGAACAATACAGATTTTTTGTCTGAGACATGTAGGTTGAAAGAGGTTATGACTGTACCTTAAGCCTGTGAAAGCGAACAATATCTCCAATTTTATAAATTATTGGAAGGGCTTCATAGCTTCTACTGAAGAGTAGGCAAGTCAACTTAACATTTGTCTGGTCCACAATTGTTACAACTGAGCAATAATCTGGAAAACACACACACACACACAAATTTAACAAGAATTTAAGTATTTCAAAGTCTATGATAAAATAAAAACGTGCTTACTTAAAAACACTAAGCAAATCTTACTCTTGCCTATAATTAAGTCTTCTAAAAAAGGATCAAATACAGACTTATTTTGGCTCTTAATATATACTGCCAAATTAATCTGTAGAAGTGTTCCACAGAAATTAACTTTAAATTCAGACAAACAAAAATAAATATTCTACATAACTATTCTGGAGAATAACTTTTTATATTACTTTGTAGTTTTAAACTCATGAAACAGAAAGAGATATTCATCAAACAAAATGTAGTTCAAAAACCAAACATAACAGAGTGAGACCTGGAGGAGTAACAGGATAATGGGGTAGACTATTTGCTCAGCACAGAACAGGGCAATGGGCCCCATCCTCAGTACCATTAAACAAAACAAAACAAAACAAAACATAGAAACAGTAAAACCAAAAGAGTATAAATGTAGAAAAAGAGGTGAAAAGTCCTATTTGTAAGCATAGACACATCATCAGGTAGTTTTATAAACCCAACAGTTTTGAGTAAACATAAAATACAAATGACCAATTCATAGAAAATTATAAATAAGTCAAAAGGGATAATTGTGTTTTAATCTTGCAGAAAATGTGTGTTTACAGGGTAATAGTAATTTTAATATTATGGTAATCAAAACTATAATAGATGCTGCTGTAATTCAGAAAATGACATGGTAAGATCATGCACCAACTTACTGTCTTCTCCAGGACCTTAGTAACCAAAGCACTGAGATAGAAAATAACTCAAAATAGTGAAGGGAAGGAAAGAGAAGATATGAACATATTTCAAGAAGATGGAAAAGAAATTAGTTAAGGGACAAAATTTAAAAGGAGGTTGAAATCCTTAATACACAGAAAAATGTTCCTCAACAATTACCCTTCCTCAGAGTCAACTTCAACAACAGAACATCTTCAGATAGCCAAGCACAGTTTTTTTTAGTACTTAACACCACAGGCTATTTTCCAAGGAAGTTGTACTGATAAACTGAGAAGTGCCAAGACCTACCACATGGACATTAATACCCAAAATAAATTACTGCTCATCACTAAATTAAGGAATTTTAGCCTGTTCCGCAGTTTTCCTCCCACTTACTTAACATCAACACTTTTAAGTTATATGCACTATAGGAATGACTTTCACAGTATGGACATAATATGGCCTAGTCTTTTATGTAACTGTTACTGTTTATAATGTAAACAAGCTCTCTGAGCAATGTGCTCTTCTTCTAACCTGAATCCCTCAGGATCACTCCTTGCCCTCCATACAAGATAATGAACAAATGTATTCATGAATGTCTGAAATATCAAAGGGTTGAAAGCAGCATGCCTATTTCACTGAAAGCAATAAAAAAAAAAAAATGGAGATGTCTGTTTGTAGTTGTAGGATATTCTAGACTTAGGGATCAAAGGGCAAGATTCTCTGATAAGAGTGGGTCCTGACTTCTACTTCCCCATTTCATGCTGGAGACACTGTCTAGATGAATGAGCAAACTTGCTGGAGAGTCCAGTTCCAACAGACATCTGAAAGAATGGGTGCTTGACAGTTTGGGTCCCTGGCCTTAGGAATGCTAAAAGTCAAGCTGATTCTTTTTTAAACATCATTATAATGTGACTTAGAAACACCACAGTGCACATGCAAGTATTATTAATATCTAACAGACTTCTCATTCAAAGAAGAGTGTTGTGGAAAAATGAATGACTTAAATAAAATAAAGACACACAGCAAGAGCATACATAATACCTATATATAAAGAGCAGATTAGGCATAATGGTGCAAGCCTGTAATGTCAGCAGTCAGGAGGGAGTGGGAGGAGTAACCCCAGTTTGAGGTCATCCTGGACTACATGGAAATTTCAAGGCTAGCTTGTATTGGCTATAGAATAGAATTTTGTCTCAAAAACACCAAGGGCTGAACATGAAGGTCAATGATAGGCCAACTGCCTAGTACAAAGCTTTCTCGACTTTGCTTTCCAAGAAAGAGAACTTCTTCATGGACATCTGGATATGGCACAGATAGTTCTCCCGATAAATCAAGTCCTTGAATATATAACTTGGTCCAAAACTCAGGCCACTTATACCATTACCTTAGGAATACAGACTTATCTGTATGTTTTTCTGAATACACCTTAAAGAGAATTCATGTAGAAAGACTATGCATGGTACCATTCTCACCACTACCCCACAGGGCTTGCACCATTATGCCTATCTTGCTCTTTACTTATATATAGGTATTATTTATGTTGTTGGTGTGTATCTCCTTTGGTTTGTTCTATGCTTCGTAAAGGAGTCAAGGAAAGTTGAATACTTTGTAAGGAATCCAAGAGCAAAAGAAGACATAAAAACCCTGATAAATGTGCCTACATTGTACAGACTGCTTCTGCTAAGTTCTGTATCCCAGGCTAACAGAGTCAGAACCAAATAAATGTTGATATTCCATTCTTTAAAATTTACCTCAGCAATACTGCTCATATAACCTTCCCCTAAATCAACCAACTTGTAAAAATCTGAAGAAGACAAGCACAAAAACTAAGCTCTCAAAAACAAAGAAAATTACCATAAATGAATGACAGAAAAATCTTCCCATAAAGAAAAGCTCATTAAAGGCCTTAAATGACTACACCAACACAAACCACTGTGAAATTAAGAGAAAAACATATGTAAAGGAAAATGTCTAAAAAAGACCACAGGAAATAAAATACATCATTTAAACAGAAAGAAAAAGTAGATTAACATGAAGCATTGTCATCAACATGACTGGTGCTAGAGGAAGCAGGAAACACAAAAAGATGTAAGAAAACATTTGGTCCAATTGTGAAGTAAACAGAAATGTAGCACAGATATGGACAAAACATGGAAAAAATACATAGGGTCATGGTTACAAACAAACTAATACATGCTACTATTTTGATAACAGGAAAGTAAAAGCATATCTCACAGAAGGATGGATGAGAAAGCAAAGCAGCAGTAGAGAAAAACAGTAACATTGACTATAACCAAAGGATAAAGAACAGATCATAAATATATCACTTAAAATTAAAGCATCAGTGCTGGGAGCATAATTCACTTGGTAGAGTGCTGGTAGTTTGCACGAATCCCTGGGTTTGATCCCCAAGAGTCCTAAAAGCCAGGCATGGTGGTGCACACCTACAATCCTAGCACTTGAGTAAAACAGAAGGATCAGCAATTCAAGGTCTTCTTCAGCCATATAGCACGATGTCCTGTGTTAAAAATAAATAGATAAGCAGAGAGAAGACTCAGTGGGTAAAAGCGCTTGGCTACCAGTCTGATGAACTGAGTTCAATCCCTAGGACCCCCATGGTGGAAGGAGAAAATTAACTTTCTGAGCTACACACAAACACACAGACACAGAGACACAGACACAGACATACACACACAGGCACACACACACACACACACACACACACACACACACAGAAACTGTGGTCTCCTAACCCCCAAATAAGTAAATACATTTAAAAAAAGCTATAAAGTGAACAATAAAGCTCAAAAGGAGCAAGATTTTCCACAGTAAATTAGATTTGATTATCTAAAAGAACTCAGCCTCTGAAAACAGTAATGGGTGGCTACATTACAACATCGTCACATCGGTATAGAAGTAAATGGAATGTGAAAACAAGTGAGGTAGGAACTGCACCTGAGCAGAAAGCAAATGCAGAGGCCAAAGCACATCTTTCAGCACCCTTACCAAGAATACTTGGAAATTATGGTGCAAGTCTGAAAAGGAAACTGTACCTCAGACTACGTGCAGTGTGTGAGGTCAAAGTGCAGTTTGAGCATAAACCAGTCACCTGAAGACAGAGCTAGAGGAAAACCTATCTGCTGAAAGAGGAGATCAACAAGAAACTCTGTCCAACTTTGTTAGGAATGAGTGAAAGAAAAAAGTAATCGTTCAACTTGGGGGAGAGCTGGCACCAAGACAGCCAATGACTCTTAATCACTTGGTTTTCCTTGTTTTTTGTTTTGATTTAGTGGTAATGTCATGCTGATTCTAAAGTTTAAATGAAGGAGCAAGGGGATGCTGATACAACACACTCACCGGGCATTGGAATACTCGTCCTGCTGAGAAGCAACAGTAAAAAAAAACTAAGGAAATCAGGAGAGAGTGGTCGTTTCAAAGGAAATATCCAGCAACATGATTTTTGTGACAAAGACAACAAAACATCATAGGTCTATGCTTGTACTTCACCTACATAAAAGCTAATTCTTAATGTATACATAGTATCTTACCTAAAAACACTAACCACAATTTGGCAACTATTCTTCTGAGCAGTAATATCACAAACTGCCTGGCATCTGACAAGCACACTTTCGGAAGCAGTATTTCTCAAAGACCATCTTGTGGCTAACTGTGCAGCTAGGTTTGCAAACAAACACCAAATACCAGCACTGCCCATGGTGTCACCAGACCTGTGAGGAATACCCTGTAGCTTCAGGCAAACACGAGGCTGCTTTGCCAGAAAAAGTAATGCACTTTGAATACAACACACGTACTTTGAAGATTATATGTTTCTTGCAATGTCACAACAGAGGACACACAAGAGCACAAGGACCACCAGCACACAAATCTAATCCAAGTTCCCATTAACAAGCTTGGTCTTTTCCCATTTTCCTTTGCTGGCAGCCTCTATAAAATTACATAAAACATACACATTTGCAACAGAATATGGAACTTGTTTTTCATGTTTGTACCAGACAACTATTTACCACTTATATTTATTTTATTTTCAGGTATGGCAATTCTATTTTATGCCTCTCACTTTAAATGCTCTGAAGTGATCCACTTTTATACATAGGAAATATAAGGGAAGAAGAAAAACGTAAATTTAGCTGGCATAAATAATAGCTGAATTACAATGCTGCTCTATAGCACCAGCTTTATAACACTAAGATTAATGATAAAAAAAAACTAGAAACT